ACCGTGAAGCAATCATTTATCGTATAGGGAGTGTTATTCGAATTTTTATCATTATGACACTAGCACAAACGTTACTGACATTGCCCATGTCATATCTTTCTCGACTTATTCAATAATACTCAACCAGAACCAATTTCAGCTATTCTTTGATAATCTTCAATTTTCTATAATCATCTTGTTATCAATTGGTTTTCTAGTAAGTATCACAGGCCAAAGACAAGTAGAAACTATCAAGTTGCAGTAATAAAAAGCATGTCTTAAAATATTACTAACTCTTAAAATTACATATCGAAAGATTAAAATCATCTTTGGGCTAATTAAGTCTCATAGCCGTTACTAATAGTATTTGATACTTCATTTTATTAATAAACAAAGTTTAGCTCCCTAGGCAAACTTTAGTCAGTACAAGCCCGATTAATAAATGATCAGGCTTAAAACTTGAAGATTGTTTCTCCATGAAATTCTTGATAATCCTTTCTCATCTGTTCATTCTCCACCTTTGAAAATAATGTTGAGCTTAGTAAGGATTAGCTGCCCAATTAGTTTATACGTTCTATTTACTTTAAAAGTAGATGAACTGCGATATAAAAATTGACAATAATTTAATAATACCTACCAATATTGTACAAGAGTAGTAACAATAAGCAATTCAGTTAAAGCTAATTTAATGCTATAATAATAATTTTACATTTGATTACGATTTTTCAAAATATCATTACCAATACCTTTTACCAACGAATAACAATGGATAAATGATTACTGTGCATAGTAGAAAAGAGAAAATAGCTCAATTAATAAGCGAAACAAATTGATGTGAAAATACTACTACCAGATGTTACAGCTGGTCAATTTAAAGCATTAATTCACTTCGGATAATAAGACGGCTCTGGCTACAAGAGTAAAGTTAGGAGAATTCTTTCTATCAATCATTGAACTATTTCTAGATACTATTTAATCAAGAAACGTTAAATTATAATTGAGTATTAACAAAATCAATCATTCTACGGCCAAGCACGCATAATCAATCTTATGGACTTTTAGCTATAGGTGTATATTAAAAACATCCAACTGATCGACTATGCTTAATGATACTAATTATACTCAATCGCTAGAAAATTCTATTTTTTTAGTTATCCAGTTTTCCCTTGTTACATTGACATTGGTTAGCAATATCACCCTAGTTGTGATCATTGCGTTCTCTAAGAATCTGCACGATCTATCTTATAACTTTATTATTAATATATCTATATCTGATATTATTGCATCGATCATACAGTATACATATAACATTACAGCAATACCAACAGTTTCAATGTCTACACCTGTTGGTGCAGTGGTATGTCGATTAGCATATGGACTTTCGGTTGTATTGACCAATACCTCTATTGCAAGTTTGACTATGATAAGTATCCATCGATTAAAAATCGTTACTTGTCCTTTGACGTTTCGAAGCACAATCATTTTTAAACATTGTACTAAATTTATTATACTTTCTTGGCTTATGAGCGCCGTATTCGCTATCCCTGCTTTCCTAACAGGAGCTTATAATCCAACGACGAAAAGCTGCGACCTTAGTTTCCGTTATGGTAGCATCTTCAGCGTTGTTTATTTTTCCGCCACTTTGTTATTTATCTACTTGATTCCAGGAATAATAATGTTAAGGAATTACAGACGTATCACAATCTGTTTATCCTCCCAAATATCCGGTAACACTGCTATAGCTCATGACCGTGAAGCCTCCATTAATCGCACAAGGAGCGTTATTCGAGTTTTTATCATCGCGACACTGGCACAAACATTACTAACATTACCCCATGTTGTATCTGTCTTGACTTATTCAATACTCAATCAGAATCAATTTCAGCTACTCTTCCATGATCCCAAATTTTTAGTAATCCTCTTGTTTTCGTTTGCGATCAATATCGCATCCTACTTGGTAAATCCATTTATGTTCTTAGTTTTCGATAAAAATGTTAAAATTGCAGCGCATGACTTATATCTTCGAATTTATGACAGTTGTAGTAATAATATGAAATCATCAAAGTAGATGCATCAGATATCATTTTTTTCATTAAAACTTAGTCTTGGATAGCTTGCGTACGATTTATAGCATTAATTGCTATCTAACTGTTATTCTTAAATGGACGAAAATTACTGCTATAGTAACTTTGATACGAAATAATGATATAGAACTTGATCACTATTTTTTTGGGGGGGGGGGTTAATAGTTATTCCATCCTTATTCCATAAGAACTTTAATGCAAAGTAATGTTAGAATATTTGCTCACTATTAAATGAGATTAATGACTATCTAATCATTATTCTAAAATGGACCAAATTTCTAGTATAATAACTTTGTTGCGGAATAATGTTAGAGCACTTGCTTACTCTTAATGCTGTTAAAGGTTGGTAGTTATCTAATCGCTATTCTAAAACGTGCCAAATTACTGCTGTGATAGCTTTGATATAGAAACATGTCCATGACGTTATCTTTCAATGATATTACTATTCCTTTCTACAATTGTTATCCTGATCTTTTATCATGTACTTATAATCTGATGGAAATTGAGGAAATGATATTTGCATTTTCTTTATATCTTTCCCTTTTCTATCTAAATGTATCTTATACGAATAAATATTTTATTTTGAAGATGCCAGCCTCTTGTAATTGTGTACAAGTAATCATTCTAGGTGCTTGGCTGATATCCAAAGACATCTTGCAGTAGTAAAATTTTACTCACTATATACCATACAGTGTACAGCGATGCTGGGTTATCCATAGTTTTGTAAAACTACCCCTGTAAAATTCTGGTATTGGCCAAGAGCGAATGCATCCAAGCAGAGCCTTATATGATCAATTCTTTATACCGTGTATAGTTCTAATTGAATCGATTTCTGATAGCCCTAAATACGGCAACAGTATTCTTTTATACTTTTATATCAAAGCTAACGAATGAATCTAAACCAGGAACATTTAAGAAACATTCCTATCTTTTCAAAATATTTTTCTGCTATCCCAATTCTACCAGCTAACGAATTAAAAAATATAAACGGAAGATTTGATATACATTCTCACCTTCTTGTAACGGTGCATTTAGTAAGAGAAATCAGAATTTCTGTGTTGGATAGTTATAGTTGCCATGGGAATTCACCTCCATCAATAAGCGGTTTTCGGTGGCATTAAATAGTTCCTTCGTATTATGCATATTAACTTTATGTTTGCAAATAGTTTGCACAGCAGCCATAGTGCAACTCTGATAATGGCAAGAGAATTTAGTAATCCAACCAGCAACTTATGTGAATTGTAGTAATGGATTATCGATGATAAATTACTATTTCTACTTTGCAAAGTTGTCTTTGATTCTATTCACAGTAGCATTAACCCTTCAAAATATTTTCCATCATTCCAAATCCCACCAATAAAATCTGTTATAGATGATTAGTTGTTAACGTATGTATTAATGATTCTGTGCAAAAAATAGGAATCTCCGTAAAATTAGTTTAAATCCTAAACTTTCAAGAGGATAGTCTTTATTATGTCAGCAGAGGAAATTGCACACTTTTACAAACGCAAGTAGAGCAATATGCACTTTCCTCATATTTAGTGTTGGCAACTTATAATAAAATTAGACTAAAGTTTGTGCATTAATCGATCCCTAGTTAACATACATTTTCTAGGACTAGTAGGTTAGGAGCAGATAGTAAATCAATTGTATTACTTCAAGAAAATCAGTGGATATTCCAATATTAAGAAACAGTATACCATAAGTGTGCGCAACTAGTACACATCCTGTACATCTCGGCACCAGTCCTAATTATTTCCCCCAATAAGTAGTCAAATATATGAGCGCGGATAAAACAAAGTGAATAGAAATACGAAAGAATTGCGAGTCTTAAGATTTTGTTTTTAGTATTGTACCCGTCTTAACACATCTGGTCTTGGTCCAATTTCAAGTTAATTCATCCCTTTCATTATCGTATGACTAATACATTTCATGTACACTGCCCAGTGTAGCATAAACCTTCTCCCATTGCAAAATTTTTAAATCTAACAAAAGCCATCTTTCAACAATTTTCTGTATACAAACTTGACAAAAACATTTGTATTCATTCAGTGGATGCTTAAGATAGAAGCATCAGCAAAGTTTTATCTCAATCTCACCAGCATCACCATACTGTAGATAACGCTTTTAATAATATTCTTGGCAGTTGTGATCTACCGTTGTTTAAATTAAAAGATCGACGAGCTGTAAACATGCGAAAATCCTGCTAATATCATATGGACATTACTGGTTTTTATGCATCATGACGAATACGAATAGACCGATCAAGCCAAATCATGTACACATATTTTCTTTCGAAATTAACGCCACAGCGACCATGATACACAATTAATAAAGCGCTATAACATTTTATTAAAATTTTGACGTTTGTGTTATACAATTAAAGTAACTATAAAAATCTAGTTCTCTCAGCAAGCAATAGTATGCATAAGAATATATAACTCGATCTAAGATACCACTTGTCGCGATATATGAACAAACATCTACTAATTATCATAGAAGAGATGATAAAATTGATAGCATAACAATGCTGAAATCTTTTGAACATAGGTACAAGATAACTCAGTCCACTTTCTATGAATATTCAAAGTAAAAGTTACTGAAGAGTCGCAATTTAGAAAGATTTCGTATAAATGGCGCATACCAGAATTTTTTGCTAATATACGCGTAATCTAGTCAGGCTAAATGTGTAATCATAAATAGAATGTTAACTAAAAAAATGGTAGAATTTGATAACATATATACGAATATCAAGGAGTTAAATCAATTACAGATACAGGACAAAAAACCTATCTAACGCCATTTGACTATATAATACTTGGCATCTATTTTTGTCGAAGCAGATAGTGCAACTAATTGCTCACTTACGAAAGTGTCTTACTTCTATCTGCCTACTACAGTACTAACGCTCTTACACAAGTACTATAATATAACTAATTAAACCGGAATAGACCAATCACTATCAATGATTCCATACTAAAATAAAAATAAAAGCATCTCAGTAATGTTGAAATCCGTATCGATAAATATCTTATTTCAATGAATAATATTTAATATTTAAACTACTTACTTGAATATCTATGATTTGACGATATAACCTTTCTGCAATAGATTGCCCCTCACTAGCCGTAGGTAATAAAATTTCCTGAATGTAGCAACATAAAACATTAAAATAAGGGCAACTAACTACACAGTAAATGTAGACTTTCAATAAAAATACTACAAAAGTCTTACATGATCTTTATATAATATTTTATCGACCGGGCTAACAACACAAGCCGTTCCAGCACCAAAAATTTCTAATAACTATATAACATGATAATTCTCATCATCAAAACAATTCATATAGGTACCTATAAAAGAACTAACATCAACACTATCTCTTCAAATATACCCTATCTTCTTTGCTAGCTTGTACCACATCTTTCATTGTAAAGTCTTCTTCTACAACTTTTATACCATCCTAATTGTTACAAAAAATTCAGTTACGTCATTTATTCTATTACACAGATAATGCTTGTTCATTAAAAGCATCCCAAAGTATTTATATACCCATTGCCTAGCGATATCAAGCAGAGACAAACGAGTAATACCAGGTAAAATTAATCCATTCAGCGGTGGAGTCCTGAGCTCTTTTTCTATATTAGTATTAAATAATCATATTTACTGCATTCATGGTATAATAGATTCTACCAAGTTATCCTTACCCCCATTTTCGTTAATCCAATACATAAAAATGTTCATTGTGCCAATTTCAGTTACCTATGCATTATTAATTATGCAGAATTAATGCTACTTTAGCTATGAGTATATCATCGAAAATAGATTCGGACGATTTTAATGCTCATAGTACGTACGCTGTGCTCCTTGCCATATAACCAAAGAACCTGTTGGCAACCGTGCTTCTCAGCTCTATTTAAAGGGGCTACAGTTGGACCATAATTGCTGTAAACGATATATTAAAAGAATTATAAATAGATCATAATATTACAGTACCCGTACCGGTAATTGCTTAAAAGCAATCTCAAGATACATACCCTCCAACTTTTGCCCATCCTAAACCGCCAGGCCACGCACGAATAAATTCAGTATCAGCCCATAAAGCAATGGGATTAAGGACACCGGTGGTAAAGTATGCTCCAACCGGACAAAGAATGATATACAGTAATGCTGATTTGCTGGTTTTAACACCTAAAGTAGGCTGTATAAATATTATACCAACTAAGATAACGTTATAATAACCACATGAATTGGTCTAATAGCTTACATCTGTTCCAATCATAGTTGGCCTGATATAAAGTGAAGCATTCTTAGATTCAGGTACCCAATCCATATCAGTTTTAAGTAATTCTTTCAGACATTCAAGAAATTGATCTCCAGAAAATCCCTATGATGCAATAGTTACATGTGATTCTATGTTCTATCGTAAGATACGCAGGATGTGAAAAAGTACAATCCGTCACTATCGTTATTAGCAATGTTTACTAACAGGAAGACCCAAGCTCTGAGCGCTTTTGTTCATTCTTTCCATATTGAGTTGGGGTCTGAATAATCTTATTCTACCATCAGTACCTTTATATGCTTTCATACCTTCAAAAGTCTTTTATAAAATTAAATAAATACTCACTTAGATTCGTAATAAAAATAAGGGTTTACCAATTAAATGGATGAAGAGTGTTTCATGTAACCAATACCTCAAGTGAATAATGGAAAACTTTTGCTACTGGAGAAATCTGCAAATCACGTATTGGGCCAATACGAGGTTCTTTCCATCCTATATCTTTATGCCATTCTATGGTAAGCATATGATCAGTTGTGTTGTGACCAAATATTAAATCTTTCTCAGCAGGTTTTGGCTTAGGATTTTCAGTCCTTTCAATAGTTAGATTTTTAGCCTAAATATCCAAGTTGGCAACAATACACTAATGTTATTGCATTGAAATTCATGATTGAGTAGTAGTATGCTAAAAAGTAATTACATTATAGATAGCATTTGTAGAACTCTTTCATGATAGAACGATTATGGAACATACTGGTAAGAATAAAAAATCATGGGCAGAAGTTATACAATTGCTACATGATCAAAGCTTTCAAAATTTCAATATCATGATACTAAATTTAGTAAACTACAGTATAATTACAGTGAACTACTGTTTCTGACTGCCAATGTAATGCTTGAAGCTAGAAGTACGTACGACGAGCTTATACAGAAAGTAATCATTAAAGATTACTCATACTACAGTACTTTCAATGAGATGCCAATGTTATGAAATACATTACGACTATAATCATGACCTTCATCATTCTGAATATCTCTCTAAAATACTAGCTGTAATATCATCCGCTAGAAAAGAAAGGTACAAACTTTGACTTGAATATCTCATGCAAATACGCTGTAACTAAATCTTTTCAATGCAATCTACGCAAATACACTAGCGTCAAAATGTAATATAATCCATATTTGACATCTCTGTCTAGATATCGCTATGCTTTATGGACTTTAAAGTAAACTGGTATAGCATATCCTAGCACAAGACATGGCGTAATAATTTGATTATAACGCTACTGAGCGAATCCATACTGTGCTATAGGATTTCGGCGCCTTATGCTGTTTTTGCTGATTTTGCAAGTGGTCTAGAAGCAAAGCATGGTACTTATTACATACATATTAACGTTATACAACTGCACAGTAAGTAACGATATTGTACACTATTTATATCATTTCTTATAATAATAATTCAATTAATCCAATGGACACTTTGTAACGACAAGACTATGATCGTTATGGTAAGCATAGGCCAATGCTATTTTTAATCGAAACTAGTAATATTTTAGTTCTATCTGTACTGTTATCTATTATTGATTATAATTATTAATGACCAACTGAAACTAGCAAACTGACTTGTTTACACGTGAGATCTTCAATATTTTCTATCCAATCTCCTACTAAATTTTCATTGTAATAGAGTGTTTTGGTAACTTAAAATTCAAATCACGTAAACTGTTGCGTAACAAAGTTAGAAGTTCGTGTATAATTGCTATTGTATGAATAGCAAGTGTGCCACGTTCATATAATTGCCAAGGAAAGGAGAAATTTCTAACATCTCCGATTAATAGTAAAATCAAAACGTGTACAGTACAATCATTCCGCTTCTACCCCAACTAGAATTTGATAAAATACTAACGCTTATACAAAGCAAATTGAGTTCAATTTTAAATTTATAGTTTAAGGATCGTATTGAGTATCGTTGGAGAAAGATAACAGGGAAGCCAACCCCTTTGATTTGTGATGATTATTGGTCATAAAACAGAAGAAAAAGGTGTCATACAGTATTACTGTTATTTTCGCTCAATTTCATCCATTTCAATCAATATTAAGTAATAGCTAACTAATGCAGGCTGCCTTAATACACCTACTAGCTGTAATGAGCAGAAATTGGAAGCAACTAATGTACAGCATGGAAATGATGTCAAAATACCCTAAAAAGTAGTCCTATAATCGTCCTATTTCATAGTTCTCTAATAATAACACGGCAGTAGTCTAATTAGCCGCCCACAACTGATCATAAATCAATTACTAGCAACCACAATTATTGAATCCATGAATAATATCGAGTTGTGACTGCCGTATGGCACTGTACTCGACATTGATTGTAGTTTAATTGACTTTAGTTTGAAGTCAAGGCCTTAAGCAAGATGCTACACACTGTGGTACTGTACACTGTGCAGGATATCGTTATTACTTTCCAGTATCTTCCAATTAATTAATAAGTGCCCTAAGACAGTATGTTCCAAATTCTACTTTATAAAACAGCGAAATCGATTTTAATTTATTGTTTTGCTAATAAATATATGGTGCACTTACAAATCCAATTAAAATAGCATCAAAAAGTTAGCTGATTGGAATATTATTCCTAACTTTTACTCTCAAGGAAAAGTAACCTGATCAAAATGATACTAGTGTAAAATAAGCAAGACTGCATGAACTATTGCAATGAGGAGTAAGCAGAGTAGCGGGTTGATTGTGCACAGTAATGACCATTAGTGACCGACCATATGTAGCTAACAAGGTCGATGAAATTGTTATTCCTTTTCAAATGTCTAACAGTTGAATTAAAATTCATTTGGCAGTCGAACCCATAGTATAAATAAAACTGCTATTTTTTTAAATAACCATATACTATGGACTACTAGAAGTAGAAAAAATATGATATGATATTTTTTTTCTAGTAGTCCATGTATATACAGTACTTGACACTGATAGTTTTAGAATGTAGCTATTGGCTAAAACCATAAAAATAGTGTTCATTCTTTCATTTACAAGTAAACTAAAATCGATGACAAACTTGAAGCAGTCGTCTTCCATTAAAAATAAAATTGATTTAAATTTATAGGATTATAATTGGCTGCTAAATACTGCCGGTTGTCAATAATCAATGTATTCATTTCAAGCATCCTATGATTTCACATCAGAAAAACGATGCAATCGTAACGTATGGGGGGGGGGGGGAAATAGTTAGCACAGTTGATCTATTTTAAAGCAATTAGTGGCGATGAAATATAAAGCAACAGTAACGTAGGTGTACGCATCATTGTCGTGGAAATATGGATCCGAAGTAGTATTTATATAAGTGTTTTGCGACGGAGCATATCATCGCAACCATCACATCAGTCCTGGTGATAATGTAATCCTTGGCTAATGTGATCCACCAACGTACTATAGCATATGCTATTATATAGTGTGATGAAAAGCTCCGCAGGTGAAGATTATCATGGCGTTAATTAATTCAATGACTTATTAGTAGAGTAATAATAAAATCCAATTATCATCTCAATGCATGTATTCATCGAGTCACTAGTCGCTGGCGTTATTATTCTTAATCCTAGTCTATTGTATATATATATATATATCGACGATATATTCATGATGAATGAAGAAATCTCTTGTAGAAATCATCTATTCTTTTTCTATTTCAATGCTAGTTTGCTTTGTCGATAGTTGGGTTATACAATAGACTTCTCCGTATGGAAGAAAAGTGGATGATGAGCAATATCAATGTGTACAATTCAACAACTGTTGGTACTGTATTTAGTAATTTGCATCAGATGGCGTAAGCGAATAGAACGAATTAATCCATTACTGAAGTGGACAAACTATTCTGGATAGGCTCCGTATGCGAGTTGCTTTGGTAATCAACAGTCCTATCAAGACGTCGCATAAAACAACTGTTGCCAACTCTTTCTTCAATACCTTGTATTGGATGGTGTAAACTAACAGGATGCCATCATCCATACCATAGTGGAAAACTATTTCTCCATTATTTATTTACTGCTTCTTCAACAACCCATTTCGTTCAGTATGGATTGATTCTCTCCATTATGTCAAGTTAAAAGTCCAGTAGATTCTGTGTAACGTAGACAATCATTTCAATCGATCAGCCAGCAACAGACAATCCGTCGTCAAGTCTGCTAGTTGAGTAGAATTTGTCCATGACCTTTAATCAAGGTAATAACACACTGTATAAACATGGCTATTTTCAACGCTCTTTCCATCTTCAACAAGGAAGTATCCATAGAAATGGCTGGTTCTGTAGGCGTTGCAATCACCATCTATCTAGCAGTTCTTCTACCAATAGAAGTAGCAAATGGAGGGATTGGTGGAGGTGTGACAGTATGCCACCACTATACAGTACAGCCATTGACAATAAACCAATAAGTAATGTCAATAAACCAACAAAAGGGCCTCGATCGTATGATGTGTTGCCAAGTGTTCAAGCAAAGCCATCTCGTGGTTGTCTCGGGATAGAGAGCAACCTTTTTGCATTGCATTAGTAGAGCTATATATAAAGTATAGTAGTGGATGTCATACTGGCGCATTCTACTGTTATTTCACCGTTGTGACGCAACTTTTTCAACTTGGCAAACTGAATCATCATCATTATTATCATTAGCATTAATCAATCTTCCATACAATCATTGCAAAGTCAATATCATCCTCTACCATTGAATCACTATTAAATCAATAGTTCAAAGCAGCATGATCACTCATCCTTTTCATCGTATAGTGGCTCATCTCTTGAAAATCCTTCATACAGTGTATCGTCTAGTACGATTGAATAAGGACGATATTAACGAAGGATTTGGTGCCCATTGAATCAAATAGTCTAGGCCATCGCCAGTCTACAAAATGAATAGGCTGCTTTCAAACTCAACTAATAGAGTGATGTAGTGATGCCTATTGCTATCAAAGGCAAATACTCTTAAGTTGCACATTTTTAAATCGTTGAACATTGGACAGTACTAAATTACATGACTCAATGAACACCACGACTAGACGATAAGGGGCTGTAACCAACTCGAAGAAAAGTCTGAAGTACTAAAAAAATTGGAAAACTCATTCCATACATCATAGGCAAGAGAGAAATCAACTTGACTATAAAGTAGTAAAGTCATGGCTACCGGATTCCATCAAGGGAGCCAAGTGACACATAAATTGCTAACTACAGTTTCGGAGATCAATCTAAGCATGTCGCTATATCAAACTTGTACCAACGGGTAATCGACCTAATCAATCTATAGCAAGGTAGGAAACTGAAAAATCAACAGCATTTTGTCCAGCAGTGCACAATCCATTACTTCATCATTAAGTTGTAGGACAAAACGCTACTGGTTAACAACATTGAATTGAAACTTGGACTGCACCGATTGATCGAATTTATACGTGTGGTAGCATTCAGTGCGTATTTACTTTACCACATGTGGCCAAGGTGTGCAAAATTATGACGGCATATCCATAAAATGACAACGTGCCGTCTGCACTTGGTGCTACACTACTGTGCGCTATGCAGTCGACTGTGGGCTACGTTTCAGGAATCAGAAAATCAGTGCAAAGCATGACTCAATGTCTCCTTGAGAGCAATGTGATCGTGTTTTCATCACTTATTCTTCTAGTGTCTATTGCGGACTACAGCAGCTAAATCACCCTGCTAAATTAATTGAACTTCATTATTATCACCTACTGTGTCGACTAAAATGAATTTCATCTGCTGTTGTGAGCAAATTTTCAGCAGAAAGTCTTCATTCAGGGCTACATTATCGTCAAGTACACTGTCAATGATAGCCTTAGTTGCACATCATAGTAGAACAACACTCGTATTGAATATTCTGTCAATAACGTCTTTAACGCTACGGTTATGCATTCGTGTCTATGCGTTTGTACAATGCCGAATTCAAAGGTGCCCTCCTAATAGGAAGATTTCTTTGCTGTCAAATGAATCATGCGTTGCTTGTAAAATGTTGTCCAG